TTCAGGAAACACTTTCAGTTCAATAAAGCCTAAACTAATGGCCAAACAAATATATTATTTGAAGAGTAGACTATAATGTGTTGCCAGGTTTTGGTCATGACACTCTAATTCTAACATAATTACAAACTGTGCATGAGCTAGTAACAACTCGCTATCAAAATGAAGCTGAAATATTGCTTACAAACTTTTTCATAAAACGCACCACTGATGTCATTTTATGTATTTATTATACTAAATCTTAACGTTCACAACTCGCTCACCTGGCCTGAATTGACCGGATGTTTCGAGACGAATTAGATAACGGCTGATAGGGAGTTTGAACAATTTCAATTGACTATTAGATAAGATGAACTATGGTAAAACTGAAAATCAAGAGCTCAGGTTTTATGAGACAACCTGTACAAGTCCCCTACACAGGGCTAACTTCAGTTAACTGTCTTTCGAATTATAAAGGGAATGTCCTGCTTAGAATTTTCGACGAAAAAAAGTTCGAGAGATAAACCTTTAAGGATAAATATATTCGCTAAAATTTAATAGAGTAAGCTATTTCTAATGAAGGCCCTTAGAAAGTTCCAAAACTCTTATAGAGCCGAGAAAGGGTTACAGAAATTTCCTATGAGTCTGAGAGAAAAACTGTTAAAAGGTTGTTGCGGGCATTATTGCTCATCTACCAGTTAAATTGAAAGTTTTCTTCAATTTTTCAAAGACTGTTATCCTGAATAGAAACCATTGAATAATATTAGATAATCTTTGTGCCGCACAACAGACCAAAAAGAAATAGGAAGCTTATGTATATTGCATGTTAGATATTGTGATATTTTATAAACAGCCTTCATTTTCTTTGCTTGCTAAGCACATTCACCCAGTAACTCAACAATGCAATGCAAATAAAATTTTTTCACATTTAAGGCCAGCATTATAATTACATTTACACTTTGTACAAATAAAATACGACATTTCTAAGGTAAAACACCTTCGACTGGAATGTTGAAATCTCCAATGGTGATTGCAATTTGCCCTGCGGTGACTCTAACAGTCACAGCATCACTCATGGCTACTTCAGCAGGTGAACTAGCAGTATCGGGAAGATCTGTGCTTGGCTCAGGCTCCGCTGGTGTGACTATGCTTTCTTTGGTACTTAGTACTGGCTTAGCAGTGATCTCAGAAGTCACCACATCAGTCACTACTGGCTCATCAGATGTAGTGACAGCGGGAAGATTAGTGTTAGGCTCAAACTGCTCTGCTTGAGTGGTTATGATTGGCTGA